AGTAAAACAATATTCAAGATTTAGAGTTATGATTTATATGTGAAAGTACTCAAATTTAAGTAAAAGTTAAGAAGAGTTTAAGCTTAACAGTTTAAATTTGGATTTTAGTGAATTTTTAGAGTGTTCATTAAAATCAGGATAAGTGAAAGAATCAAGTATTCAAGCATCATATTTAGTATATGAGCATAGTACTTAGTATAGTGGTATTTTTATGTAGCTTAAAGATTCAGCTATATCATTCAGCACTTACGAGTTTTCAAAAGCAGAAAGGTGGGGACCCAGCCTGGGTATTACATTGACTATAATATGATATCATGTCCGAAGTATGTATACAGTTTATACGATTGGGATGAAGGCTCCTAGTTGCCTTAACAGTACATCCTAAGTTCTGATGGAGGCCACTAGTTGCCTTAGAAATATCCATCAGAGTGTGCACATGTATCCGATCAGATATCGGCCAGATTACAGATTCAGTTTAAGTTACTGGAACAGATTTCCAGTCCAGATATATACCAATGATCATGATATTGTAGTATTATTGTTGTTTACTTTAGTATGGGTTATTTTGGGGTACAAAAGGACCAGTACTCACCCCCATTGTGTTTTTCAGGTAACAAGGTCGGGTCGAAGGTGTGAGCTCGAATGTGGTGGTGATGGTCGTGCACTTGTGGACATTTAAATTATGAACTACTATGTCTGTATAATATTTCACGTTTTTAAGTATTTCCGCTTCGCATATTAAGACTTGAACTTGCATGTTATTAAATTTCATATTTGAGACTTTAATCATTTCAGTAGTATGAATATGGTTCAGTTTACATGCGAGTTTAAATAAATCTGTTTCCTTTATGTTTAAACCATAAGTTAGACAAAGTTTAAAGATAAACGGATTTTTAGAAAAGATAAGTTTGAGTGGCATCCCGAGTTAAGCGCAAAAGATTTCGAAAATTTTATAAGTATTTTCGAAGCAAAAGTTGCGAAAAATTTACTCTGATAAGGGGGTGTTACATACGCGGTCATGCTTGCGGCGACGGGGGCCGCCGATGGGGGTGGAGACGAGGGACCTAGGGTTTGAGCGAGATTGAAAATGGAGATTTTCTACCGACCAAGGCTTCTTTCTCTCGAGTTCGATAGAGAAAAAAAATTCCAGATGTTTTGTAATTGGGAAAAAAAATTGAACAAAACGCTGAGAAATCAAGGAAAAACAATGAAATGATTTTGTATTCAACAAAGACTATTTTAGGATTCGATTTTTCTGGGGATTAATTTTAATCTTAGAATTGAGCAACGTGCGGGGAGGTGAGTTTTTTGGGGATTCAACAAATTCTCCGCGGAAGGTATCGGAGAGGTCGACGTGCGTTCCATCGGCCTGACAAACTTGGGCGGTGACGGGGATTGGGGGAGTTGGTTTCGGAGGTGTTGAAGGAGGTGAGTTTCTTCTTTTTTTTCATTTTATTTATTTACTTTTTATTGTTTATTTATTTATATTATTTTTTTTATTTTATTTTTTTTGGCAAATGGGGAGGTGAATTTTTAATTAATTTAAGGGAAAATGACGTGGAAAAAATGACAGTGACCACATCAGCTAATCCGTCGGAAATCAGTCAACATCAGCTTAGTCAACGCGATATTTGCCAGCTCAGCAACTTTTGATCGAATTTCTGCTATTGGGGTCGAAATATGACTAAATTGGCTAAAATTTAAGAATTTCTGGAGCAATTTTGGATCAAACTAAATTATTGGACGAAAATGAGAATCGGTCTATGTTATTGGACTAAAAGTGCAATTTTCTCTAGTGAAATCCCTATACAGGGAAGAAGTTCTAAATGGACGACCTCAAATCCAAGATAACTATTCAGATTTTAGCAATAACTATTTATGATTATGTTCGTTTGCCCAATGTCTATCAATATTGGCAATATATGAGTAGATGACAATTTGTAAATGAGTGTTTGGTGTTGTAGAAACTCGTATTTATTCATAGAAACTCTATGGTGTGATTTCTAAAGTGAAATTAAAGATTACTACTTGGGATGAAAATAATGATATAAGCTCAATTCGTCTACAATTGATTTTATATTGAAAAAAATGTTTCCCCAACAATGGACGCATATTCGCCGGGGCGCGTCTGTGGAGGTAGACCATAGTACCTCTGGTTTCCTAGGACTGTGAAGCATCACTCACCTGCCCGTCGTTGTTATCCTCATCTTTCCTTTTCATCTTCTTTTTAATTTACTAAATTATTTCGAAAATAATGATATATATATATATATATATATAAGCTCAATTCGTCTACAATTCGTGTAGCGTGCAGTACTGGTGTGTTGAAAAACCATGAATGCAACCAATTTTGATATAAGCTATTGGTCGATAAATTCAAAGCAAGTAAACATGAATGACTTGAGAAATTTTTTCAAAGCGCGTAAGCGTCAAAATTTGTTGACAAATGAGAAGAAGAAGAAGAAGAAGTTAGAAGAAGCGTTTTTTACCTTTTTTTTTAATTGATATAATTTTATTGATGGATTATTGGATGCACTGGTAATCGAGTTGAGTTAAGTGTGTCTGGAATAAGAAAAGTTTCAAGATAGTAGACATATATATAAGTAGTAATTAATTGAAGTACGTGGCTTCTTCATAATAATAAACATGATGTCTTAAAAGCAATAGTATCATTAGTTGGCAATGACAGTGAGCTTCTTCCCTTCTTGCAATGCGAAGAATATCCGCATATGTCTTTTTTTTTTTTTCCAAACGATAGATAACATTGCACTCAAAGAAAAAACATCTTACAAACGGTGATCCACGGATCACAAAATTAAAAGAGTAGCCAAAAAACCAGCAATAGCTACCCCAATCATCATAGCCAATTATAGCTTTTCTGCTGCATAACAGCATCACAAGCTAAACTAGAACAAATATCACTATAATGGCCACTATCAGATACAAAGGCGCATGAAGAAAAAAGGCCTATCAAAATATAAATATCTTCTGCAATTTCTTTTCTTCTCCCATCAAATGGTCCTGCATCCTTTAACTTCACTGATATGGCTTCATCCTCAATTGTCACCACCACCTCTCTCCAACCCTGTAAATAAGCATTCCAAAGTACAGCATGAACTCCCAACAAAAGGGCTTCATCAAAATCAAAACAGAAAGCATTATAAGTCTGCCATTTTTTACACACACTATTCTGAGAGTTAGATACAGCTACACACCCTAATCCACAGCCCACTCCTGGAATCACACACAAGAATTGACAAATAAAGTGAATTGTCCTCCTTGTTCCTGGCTAGGTGAAGCTCTAGACAGCCCATCTATCTCCCAAAATCTAACAGCTTTAAATTCTGCCCACTCCTCTCTAGCTCTGTTAATAAGATCCCTCTCAGAAATCAATTTTTTTTCAAAAATCCAGATGTTTCTGGTTTTCCACAGCCATCCCAATATATACACAGAAAGTTCCATTCTCTCCTCCCGACACTCCCATTTTCTTGCATTACACAAATCAGACCACCAACCCCTGAAATGGTCCCTCTTGATTTGGCTTGGATCCCATTGAACTGGAGCTATTTCCCACACCATCCTTGCTCTTGAACACTCAAAAAATACATGCATCAGAGTTTCCACTTCCACACCACATAGTTGACAGATGGGAACATCAATCACCCTCCTTTCACAGAGCTTATGTGCCACCGGGAGAGAATTATGTATACTTCTCCATATGAAAATTCTGAGTTTAGGTTTCACTTTAATATCCCAGGTGCATTTCCACATCTTTTTTGTTGTTTCTCTCAATTACGTGACCAAAAACATTGAAACATAATTTCATACCTAATTTTAGATTTCACATGACTTTGTACATTGTAGAGCAATTGTAGTTCTGTATCCTTAATATTACTGATTTACTGGTGAGTTAATTTTCGAACACACGTGACAAGTGTAACGACTCGAGTTTGGCTCAATTCAGTTTTTTTTTTTAGCTCATTTAGTTAACGTGTCGAGCCGAGCCTGACTTTTTAAGGTTTGGGACGAGGATTGGATTGTTACGTAATTATCTAAATTTTATCGGCTGGTTAATATTGATAAATAAGCCAAATTAAAACTCACCCATCTCGTTTGATTAATGAGCCATGGTTGATTCAATTTGATAAAGGCTTGAGCTCGACTGGGCTCGTTTAAGTTTGTAGGTTGCATGAGAATTAACATTTTATTTTACTTTGCATGTGAAAGCTTCAAAGTTTAAAGCACGTTCAATTTTCCGAACCACTATTTGTACAACTTTGGAAATGCACGTCAACTTGCAAGAAATAGCCAATAGGCCCGAGCTATAGATTAATGTATTTGAATTTTGATCTTTTCAACATATTTATACTGAAATTTATACTGAATTAAAGGAAAAAAAAAATACAAGAAATATAAAGAAAATACCACAAAATCATTGTAGTAGTAGTATTTTGCTATTGAAGGTTTCGAGTTACCGAGCTGCTCTAGTTCAAGCTCAGGCTCAGCCGGCTCGAGCATAGTTTTTTTAAGCTCGTGAAAGTTCAACTCGTTTAATAAAGTAAAATCTTAAACTGAGTCGTTTGCAAACATATCTTCGCGACATGACATACTTGTAGTCTACATATATAATGCTCTACCTCTACTCATCACGTACCTGTAAAGCAACACCAAATGGTCTTTGCGACTAACACAGCTGAATAAGTAGCATACATTGATCGACAGCAACGACCGCATAGCGCAGTGGATTAGCGCGTCTGACTTCGGATCAGAAGGTCGTGGGTTCGACTCCCACTGTGGTCGCTATTTTCTTTTGCTTGCGTCCAATGGGCTTAGCCCATTTTTCATGTTAATGGGCTTCTGTGTGTATTTTCTTCTTCTTTTTTATTTTTTTTGCAGCTGGACTGTCTACTCTCATTGGGCCCCATTCGAGTACAGGAGAGTTGGCTTGGCCCACCTCTCTCTCTCTCTCTCACACACACACACGCGTTCACGCACACTCTCTCTCACTCTCCTCAAATCTGAATCACCTGCCAACCAGCACCACCTCCACCAAGCCTGACGTCTTATCCCCACGCGCCGCGGCACTCCTCCGCCTCTTCCCTTCTTCTTCACGCCACCCATCTCCATTTAACCCCCATCTTTCTCTCTCCCTCTCTCTCTCACCATGAAGCAACTCCACAAGCAATCCTCAAACACCAGAAAAGACGAGGAGATGCCCTTTTCCCAAACCCCGCCCTACTCCCCAAAATCCATGAAACATCCTCGATCCCTCCCCAGATCCCTCAACTACATCCTCCGCGAGCAGCGCCTCCTCTTCATCCTCATCGGCGTACTCATCGGCTCCACCTTCTTCGTCATCCAGCCGTCGCTCTCCGCCCTCTCCTCGGCGGACCGCCGCAGCCCCGGGATCTCCTACGGCGGCCGCCACTCGCTGCCCAAGGCCAATTTTCTGGATCGGGAACTGTCGGCCGATTCCGGGAGCAGCTTCGTCGATGGGGGCTACAATCGTTACTCGAATGGTGTTGGGCGGGTGCCGGTGGGGATCGTGAGCAAGAGGAGGAGGATCGTCGTCACCGGCGGTGCCGGTTTTGTCGGGAGCCATCTGGTGGATAAGCTGATCGCCAGGGGTGACGACGTGATCGTGATCGACAATTTCTTCACGGGGAGGAAAGAGAACGTGGTGCATTTGTTCGGGAATCCGAGGTTCGAGCTGATCAGGCATGATGTTGTGGAGCCGATTTTGCTGGAGGTGGATCAGATCTACCACTTGGCCTGCCCTGCATCGCCCGTGCATTACAAGTATAATCCCGTCAAGACAATCATATCCTTTTTTTAGTTTTCTGTACATTTTGTTACATTTCTTAGTGATGACTGATGGCTATGAGATTTATGTTTGCTTGCTTATGTTCTTCCATTGATGTGCTAAAATGGTATGTTTCTTGTTAGAAGTTATGTGATAACTAATCCCATATGGATTAGTTACTAGGATGTTACTGTGTATAAGTGTGGGTTGGGCACCCTCTTACTCTGAGTTAGTTTTTGGGGATGAGTTCTACCTAGGCCATTTATCCTATGGTATCAGAGCATCCATGTCTTGTTTTGTTTGTTTGGAGGCGATGTTGGGTTTTGGGCCCGGCCCATTTGGTTTGGCAAGCTGTGCGTGAGGGCTGGTGTTAGAAGTTATGTTTGTCTCACTTAGTTTTTGGGTTGTTATTGTGTCTAAGTATGGGTTGTAGCTTTTGGGTGTGAGTTCTTCCCAAACCCATTTATCATTTCTAATGTGGGTATGGGAAGTTTATGCTTCTCGTGTTTTCTTGTCTTGGTTTTGGTCAAAACGAAAAGTGAAAATGTTTTGTTGTTTTGTTGCATTTGATATTTGGTTGAGATCCTTGACTGGGTGATTAAAAGACAAATGTGATGGGAACTCTTAACATGTTGGGCCTTGCGAAGAGAATTGGTGCGAGGTTTCTTCTAACTAGTACGAGTGAGGTGTATGGGGATCCTCTTGAGCATCCACAGAAGGAGACTTATTGGGGACATGTGAATCCTATTGGTTAGTTAAGTTGTGTTTCCTTTGTTTTGTTTCTTAATTATTCCGTTTGGGCTGCACTTTTATGATTTGATAATTGATCATCAGGTGTACGGAGCTGCTATGACGAAGGAAAACGAACAGCTGAAACCTTGACTATGGATTATCATCGAGGTGCTGATGTTGAGGTAAAAATCACCTATGTTGCATTTCTCTATGGGTGTTTGTCAGGTTATTTAGTGAATTTGTTATTTTTTGAGTCAACCATGTTGGTGATGCTGAGAACTCATTCACTATGAATTCAATATTAATCTGTAATATTATCAGATTTAATGGCAGTTTATGGGCACATACAATATGGTAGGTGCTGCTGTGAGAGGTTGAAAGCACTTTGACGTTGTGCATTCTGAATGTTTCCAAATATTCGTTCAAAATTACTTTAGTGTTTTATGTGTTGTTATCTTTCTTCTATCTATAGGTGCGAATTGCGCGCATTTTTAATACGTACGGGCCTCGGATGTGTCTAGATGACGGGCGTGTGGTTAGCAACTTCGTCTCACAGGTTCGTCTTTCGGAAATGTTCGACCTCAGAACTGTACCTTTTGATTCATCGAGTATAAAACTCTATTTTGTTTGTCTTATATATTAGTACAATAGAACTCCATTTTTGCTTTCCCTTTTGAAAAATAGGGGTATACAGGGAATGACATCTATGCATTGATAGTAGGTGCCGTTTCTAATTCAATTCTAACAAATCTAAACTAAAAAAGAGGGAAAAAAAATGTTGCTAAAAAAATCAGAACTTGCCTGTCTAGTGTCTACTGATATTAATCAGTATTGGTTATAAACAGTGATTGAAATCTTCTTAAGTTGGCATCCCATATTTTCTTTGCTCGGAGGGCAAAGTATTGCAAAAATAATTTACCCATGACCGTGGCAATGTTATCCAGGCTATACGGAAACAACCAATGACAGTCTATGGGGACGGAAAACAAACACGAAGCTTCCAATATGTGTCTGACTTGGTATGCCATGTCTTCCTTCTTTTCTTTATGCAAATATATCAATCTATTTGTCTCTAGTCCACAAATCACAAGACACTATATAGGTTCACCCTTAACTAGAATTATGTTCGCGTTCTTTTGTTACGGAGCTGAAAACTAGAACTTTTCGACCACCTGGAGGTTTTATGCTTTTGTTGAAATTGTTAATTATATATGCTGGTCGTGACACAATGAATCAGCCGATTTTCAAATACTACTCTCACTTGCAAGCAATGCCTTTAGTAATAAAATTCACTCTGACAGACTTCAAACTACAATTTATGTGAAACACACTATAGCAGCAGGATTTAGTGATTTACAGATACAAATTAAATTCCATGTTCATTCAGTGTGGTGTAAAAATAAGAAATCGGGAGTTTATTCTCTTTCTGTAGTCTGTACTTATTTGATACGTGCATATGTGATTTCCGGATATCAGGTAGATGGACTGGTGGCATTGATGGAGGGCGAACATGTAGGCCCATTCAACTTGGGTAACCCAGGAGAATTCACTATGTTGGAGCTTGCCGAGGTTTGTCCTTGCAAAAACATCTTCTCTATTAATGGCATATTTCACAATAATCTATAAGGAATAAGGTTAACTAGAAAAACTACTCTAGTTCACAAATTATTTCATACTTTTGTTTATTATGTTATTTGTTAGAATATAACATTTCAATTTTAAACTATGCATATATGTTGAACGGTACGGCTTCCTAACCATTGGGTCTGACTCACATTAGCCTTACCAACTCCAATTTTAACCTAATAAAAAAATACGATTTTTTTGCTTCCTTCTAAACTAAAACTATACTTTGACATATTTCTTTTGTACGAATTACACCCTGACAGAATTAGATCTCTTTTTGTTTTATTCTTCTTGAGCTAATCCACTGGGATGTTTTTTGGGGTTATTAGATTTAGATCATTCTCGTTTCTGAATGAACGAGCTATTATCGCCTTTAAACAACAGGTTGTGAAAGAAACTATCGATCCCAGTGCCACAATCGAATTCAAACCAAACACTGCTGATGATCCTCATAAGAGGAAACCGGATATTACCAAAGCAAAGGAGCTTCTCAACTGGGAGCCAAAGATTTCCCTACAAGAAGGTTTGCCCCGTATGGTAAACGATTTTCGAAATAGAATCTTGAACGAAGACGAAGGAAAGGGAAACTAATTGTCTCAAACGAACAACCCAAAGGAAAAATAGCATGTATAGAACGAGAGCGTGTTTTGTAAGTCGACCGTTCCACTTTCTGTATTGCATTCATATCTTTATTGAACATTTTATCGGTAGCAACTTCAAATTGAGCAATTTGTTGGTTGCCCTATAAATTTTAATTTGAAGATTTGTTTTGCAGTTTTCATTGGGATTTTGATTTCAAATCCAGTTTTTTCCTTCTCATGGTGGTGTAAATGACATTGTTGTCACTGATTGTATAAGTTAGAAACTTCTTTGTTGATATGGTTTGTTGGGGGGTCCTTTTGAGTTTTGATATTTTGTTTTACATGGATGATTGCGAAAAACAGGGTTTTAATCTAATTACTAATTATAAACACCCCTTGTTGATTAT